CCTCACCAAGGAAGTGATATTTAAAGCCAGAAGGCCTGAAGGGTGAGAAGTCAGCTAAGCGAAGGAGTCAGGGGGAGATGGGGTTCAGTGGTCCCCGTGAGGGAACAGCACATGCAAACCACTGACGGTGAAAGAGACAGCATGCAAGAGAAAGGCTCACAGGATTGAGGGAGCAGGGCGAGGGTGCTTTTCAGGGATGGAGGGGCCTGATGAGTAGCAGGGCCTTGAGGGCCCCACTTTATTTTGAAGGAGATTGGGTTTTATTCCAAATGCAGGGAATCTGGCCACTGAGGGTTTCAGCAGGAGTAACTGGATATGGCTTCTGTTCTAAGACGCGCGCTCTCTCTGGCTGCTCGGTGGGTACTGGGTGGTAGAAGGGCAGATGGGACCCAGCAAGACCAGATGAGAGTCAATGAGCCCAGCTGTGGTGAGGAGACTGGGAGATGAAGAGTATGTGAAATATATTCCAGAGCTAGGAATGATAGGGCTTGTTAATGGGTTGGAATATGGGTAGGAGAGCCATGTATTTTTTTTATCCACTGGTCTTTTGGCCTATTTCTCCCATTAGAATGTAAGCTCCACGAGCGCAGTGATCCTGTTGGTCTTGTGCACCACTGGTTCCCCAGGACACACTACAGTCATTTAATAAAGACTTAGTGCATGGTAAATGAATTAAGGAAAGAGAGGGCAGGGTTAATGATAATGCCCCAGTTTCTGGCTCAGCTTTGGGGGGCATGAGCCCACAGAGGGGAGGACCAGGGGGCAGGGCAGTGAAATCAAAGCCCAGCATCAGGGAAGCAGGAGAGGTGCCGTGAGGGGCCGAGCAGGTGTGAGTGGATGGGAGAGCGGGAAGGGGAAGGGGGTTGTGTCCACTCAGCATGGAGAGCAGTGCCTGGAATACAGAAGAGGCTCAATATGTGTTTGTTGGATGAATGAATGAATGAAGTTGAGAGGAGAGTTTTGGGCTGGAACTATAAATGTGGCTGTCACCAGTGCCCGGAAGGTGTGTAAGGCGATGGAAGTGGATGAGGTCACCTAGGAAAAAGTGTATGGAAAGAGAAAGGAAGGGACCCCCACTAACCACCTATGTTGCTAATTTAGGAAGCAGGGACCCTAACTCAGCCAAAAGCAGCTCCCGGAGACTCATAGAATAGCCCTAGAAGCAGGCAAATATGGCAGAGGGCAGGGGGCTGGCCCCATACCTCTGTTGGGGGGAAAGGAGAGGCTTCCAGCACCAAATAGCAGGGGCCTCTGACTCCTCTGACCTGGAGCAACAGCCCTCCTCCTGGGTCCCTCTTCTAAGACCTCAATGCTGTAGTCAGGCCCAACTAAGGTTGCCCAGGAGAGAGCAGGTCCTGGAGTCCCCAGCAGCCCTTGCTGGCCTCTGGAGCAACACTTGCTGTCCAGGGCACAGGTGTGGTTACGAGAGGCCCAGGTGACTAGGCCAGCTCATGTGCTACCTGCTGTGTGGGTACCAGAGTGTGCACACACAAGGGGCTGGCGCTGGGAAATGAAGGCAGCTGCTCACTGTGATGATGCTGTCAGGGCCCCGGGAGGCTGTAGGGGAGGGCGCTGGGCACATGTTGTCAACCCAGGGCCAGGGCATATCCACCGAGTCACTTTGGACTAGATGCACCACCAGTGCTGGCCTCCACCCTGGACTACATCCGGGATTGGCGGGGAAGAGGCAGATGGAGAGTCTTAGCAGGGAATTCCTTCTCGAGGTAGGGACTCAGGAAAATCATGCTGGGAAAGACCTTACCAGATTCCTGTTCGGAAGACCTGGTTCTGGGCCTGCCTCCACCACGAACTAGCTGAGCGGGCCCATGCGAGCCAGAATGTCTTAGGATTGGAAGAGGTCTTCTAACTCTACCTTCCACACTGAGCAGAGATTCTTCCCCCAGACCTCTGGCACGTGATCATCCAGCGCCTCCACCCACAGGGAAGCCTGTTCCCACTCGGCAGTTTTGTTCGAAAGCATCTATTTTTCAAAAGGCCTGGAAGGACTTAACAACACCAGATGTCAACAGTGTCACCTCCTGGGAGGAGAGTGGGACTGAGCAAGAGTGATGGGAGCTGCCCTGTGAATTTGGTATGAGATGATGTCGATCCCGGGTGTTAAATTTGCGAGGGCAAGGAAAACCACCAAAAGTAAGGTTCTCCTTTAACTCAATCTACCTTCCTAACATTTCCACCTATGGGGCCCCGGTCTACTCTCTGGGACCAGAGAATAATCTAAACCCACTTCCCCTCAGACGCCCTTCAAGTACCTGAAGGCGGGTATTTCCACTGAGTCTTCTCCAGGCTGAGCGGCTCTTCCTGTAACTTGGCTTCCAAGCCGGTTCCCACCATCACCCTCATCAGAGTGTCAGACAATAAAACCCAGAGGGTTGAAGAGGGAAGAAACCAATTGCTCCCTGAGCTGGATGTTACCTCCTGCTAATTAATTAATGGAGCCTGAGAAGCCATCCTTCTCCCTTTTATGGGGGGAGAGGGGGTCATGATCAAATCACACACTTTCTCAAGCCTTGGTTTCCTTATCTATAAAAAAGGAAAACAATACCTTTACGATGAGAATCAACTGAGACTAAGGAAACATAAACAATAAAAAGCACACATCCCTACCCGAGGGGTTATGACTTAGAAGTCCCATTCTGTTTAGACAGCCGCTAAGTGCTGGGCCCATAGCACCAGACTGCTTCGGTTTAGTCCCAGCTTTGCCACTTATTGGCTGTTTGACCTTGGAACAGTGACTTGACATTGCTGCCCTGCAGTTTTCTCCTCTGTGAAACAAGGATGACGACACCGCCAATCTTGGAATGTGTTTTTAGGAGGATTAGAGGTATTCCCCCAGCACTCAATAAATGTTAGCTGTTTGGTATTGTCACGCAACCGAGTCTTACACCAGGAGACAAGGGCAGCACCGAAATGATGCGAATTCACAGCACCTATTTGAAAGGTGAAGCCATCACACCAAACTGGTCATGTTATTGGGGTGAGTTGCTCCAAAATCCCCCCCACCCCATATTTGTGAGCAATGATGACATGGTAAGCACTGTGCTCAGGACCGTACAGGTTCCACCTCACTGAAACCAACCAGCGGTTCCAGGAGGTTGACGGCACCATTATTCCCGTTCTACACGAGGAAATAGGTCACACAGCTCCAGTAACTTGCCCAAGGTCACACAATCGGAAGTGCCTGAGCCAGGACTTGAACCTGACTCCTGAAGTCAGTCTCCATCACCAGTGTCCTGCTCTTTCAACCAGCACCCTAGCTTGGGCTCCCGTCCAGCGTGGGGACCAGAGGAAACCAGAGCCTGACCCTCCTTGACAGCACCCCCTGCAGTTCCTGGAAGGTGGGAGGAGGGGCGCTCTCCTGCTGCCTGTTGAACTCTCTGCCCTCTTGCACACCGCCCTCTCCCCTCCAGGGGTCTGCGGGTATTACCAGGACCCCAGCTGCATCTCCTTGAGTCCCCTCAGGACCACCCTGGCATTTGGTATCCCTGGGCTGCTTGCTGGGTTTTCTGCCCCTGATCATAAAATGGTTCCATACTGATCTACAAAAAAAACCCCAAAAACTGAAAAAAACCCACAGCCATTTTGGACGTGGGCCCTGATGCGTAATATCATTATGGAGCCAGCAGTGCATCCCATCCCATTATCGCCCGGCCAAGCTTCTCTGAGGCGAGCCTGGCTGCAAATGGCTTTCTCCCGTCTGGGGGTGGGGGGGGGGTGGGGGACTCGCCCTCCACTGCCGGAGAGATTTTATCTTTAATTGACAACTGGCTGCCCGCCATCGTCCTGCCTCTGTGGGCCCAGGCTCCAAGCCTGACTTTCCCTTACGCTTCAGGAACAGGCTTCCCCTTGCTCGTCTCTCCGCTCGGCCCTGCTGTCCTCACCCCCTGCTCCCTAGTGTGCTCCTGTCCTGAGTGGCTGGAGATGGAGATCTCCGATGTGTGTGGGGAAGAGCCGGAGAGCTATAGGGAAAGGGTGAGGCCGGAACCAACACTTACGGTGCATCTACTGTATGTCATAGGTCACTGGGCCAGGTCTTTACACTTGCTGTCTCTGAAACAGGGACTACCATTATCCCCCTTCTACAGACAGGGAGACTGAGGTTCTGTGAGGTGTCCCAAGTGGCTCAGCTAGTGAGTGGCAGATCAAGACTTCAAACTGAGGGCCCTATCACTCTATTATGCCTGGAACAAGACAAGAGTAAAGAGAGCAAACACGCACCCATACCTGGCTACATAATTCACAGGGCCCAGGGCAAAATGAAAACCCAGGGCCCCTTCTTCAATAATTAGTCATTTCGAGATGGTGACAGCTGAGCATTAAGTCAAATGTGGGGCCCTTTTGAGCAACCGCCCAGGCTCCACGCCCATGAATCCAGCTCTGCGTATGTCCCTATGTAAGTGTGTGTGTGTGTGGGGGGAGGGTAACGACAGTGAGGGGCCACATCTGACCATCACTTCCCACACCCCATCCTCTCTGGGCCCTGGAGGCATTCATTCCCCAGCCCTAAGTGGTCCCAGTTGTGCCACCAGTCCCTTGTTGGCCTCAGTTCGTCAGCCATCCAGTCATCGAAATGACTTTGGCATCCCAAGGGCTCTGGCCCACATAGAAATGGTGAGATTTCAGGAGGAGGGGAGGCCCCCTGCACAAACGAATAGGAATACAGTGGACTTCCTTAAAACGAACAACAGTCTTTTCTTCCATGTGATGCCAGGGGGGAATCAGGCAGCAGCAGTGGAGATCAGAACACTGCCTGGGAGTCAGGGGTCCCAGGTTAGGCTTCTTTATGTGACCTGGGGCAAATCACTTTTTCTCTCTGAGCGTCGGAGTCTAGCTCTAAGCGTGAGGGTTGGGCTGCTGTATGGATGATTCCTGGTGAGGGCAGGGTGATGTCAGGAGGGTGTTGCATTTCTCAGGTGTTGGGATGGAAGCCCAGGGAAGTCCCCACAGACACAGAGTCAGAAAAGAGAGGCGGAAGCAGTCACTCACACAGCAGGAGCGGCAGGACGTCTTTATTGACAGTCGAGCACAGCATGACGTCGAAGGCATGCAGACAGGGCAACACGGCCCCAGCCTAGGCTTGCCTCAGACACACGAGGGGGCAGCTTTAGAAAAGGGCTGACCAACATCAGGGAAGGGCAGGGCAGGCTGGAAGTGGGGAGGAGGGCCGAGGGAGGGGCAGAGGCCAAGGTCAAAGGGATCACCTGGCCTCTGCTATTGCACACATCCTCTGGCCACCAGCCAGGAAATACAGTATTGCAACTGGTCTCCGCTTGCCCGAGGCTTCCCCTTCTCAGACCCCTGAGCCTGATGGGCAGACAGACCCCTTCCCTGCCCGTCTGCCCAGCAGCATCTTTGAAAACAAACAGACGAAGGAGACAGAAAAACCAAAAATAAAAAAAAGGACAAACACCCCCCTCCTCCCCAGTCAAGGACACAGGTAAGGTGAAGGGAGAAGTGGAGGAAGCCGCAGAGAAGCCCCTGGAAGTCCCCCCACAAGTAGGGCGTGGGGTAGGAGGTAGAACCCCAATCTGGGCTGGGGGGGGGGCTAGTGGAGCAGTGACCCTGGGGGGCAACCTGGCCTTCCACAGGCCACTGACCCACAGGAGAAACACCCCAAACAGGGAGAGTCTAGCCTTGGACCACCCAGCCGGACTGGCAGTTCCCAAGTGCACTTTTCCTGGGACATTTCACACGCGTGTTCAGCAGAAACAAGGAATTAATGAAGGGGAGGGATTGGGGACTTGTGGGAGGGGCAAGGGCTTGAGAAGACATAGCCTAACGAAGAAGACAGACCACCAATAAAATAGCACGTGCACTACACACAAGAGTATAGTATGTATGAATATAGATACTATATGTGCATATATATCTCTTCAATTTACAACAGAACATCCGACCCAGATGGCTCTGGGCCCCGAGGGTCACACGGGAGGTTTTCCATCAGTCTTGTGCACACAAGGATAGCTGAGTCTTTCCCAGTGATTCTTGCCTGGGTTCCAGAGTTTCCCTAAGTCTCTGGATTTCTGTCTGTCTGCCTGTCTCTCTCACGTTGGTGCCGCTTTAAGAGAGGGTGAGGACTTCAGCCTGGGCATAGTTGGACGAGAGGGCGTCTTGGCAGGTCTCTGTGTTTAAAGAGCACAGGTGTGAGACACTGGGACGCACGCTTTCGGCTCAACATTGCCTTCTGGGGGGGTAAGGAGTTCAGCAAAAGAAAGGGAGAAACAAAGAATGAGATGTTAGAAGAAGGCAGCTGCCAACCCACAGGCTGTGGGCTAGAGAGTAGGCCAGGAGCAGAGCTGGAAGGCATGGGGACCAAGGGCTAAGAAGCCAGGAGGAGCACAGATGGGTCACGGTATGGGGTGAGCCCCTTCATCATCCCTCTGCCGACCCAGCTCTGGGCCAAGGTGACTCACAAGGTGATGTTACAGCTCATCTCCCTATTTGCTCAGGTAATGAGCTGCAGAAACCACTAGCTCTCAGTCTTCAAAGCTCCAGTGCAATGGGGAGAGGGCTCTGCGGCCTGGCATGGAGGCAGAGGGGGAAGTTCCTGATTGGCCTGTAACCCACAGGTCACCCAAGCTGCTGCCTGCCCAGGTTGGGCTCCCCCCAGCATGGCTCCATCTGCCACCACCACCTGGGGACTCTTCTGCTCCAGAGGGCTGAAGACGGCTCCTGAGTGTACTGCCGTGGCGTGCCCAGCCCCCCTTCCCCAATCTGGCAGGAACGAGTCCCAGTGGCTGCAGAGTGAATGCTGACGGGGAAGGTCAGAAAGGATGAATGTGCCTCTCAGGAGGGAAGGCCAGAAAATACCATCATATTGAAAAACCCAACCCATCCATGAGATCTTCTGGGAATCCCACCTCAGCCTGGGATGCCAAGGGCTTGGGAAGGGAACCTCCCCAGTGCAGGCACAGGCTAGGCAGGCAGGGAGGCTGCTGTGGGGGCAGAATTTTTGGAGGGTGATACTCTGGCCAGGGCAAAGGAGGCCCTGCTCTCTCAGGAAGCTCTGTGGAAGGGCAGTGCCAGCCTTCGGTCCGGCACGCAGTCTACCCTGCAACGCGCATGCCGCCCAGGCTCCCTCCCTCTGGTTCCAGCTCACGGCCACTCTTCTCAGGAGCCCTGAGGGCTCTAGGGTTGTGAGTGGCCCTGCTCCAAACTGGAAGGTAAGGTTAACAACTCCTACTGGGCTGCTTTCCTGCTCTGCCAGGAGAGGCTTGGGCCCAGCAATAGAGGAAAGGCTTCTAGAAGCCAAGTCATGGGTCCAGGTCCAGGTCCAGATCCAAGGTAAAGCAAACTGTGCTCACATGGGACGGGGAGCCTTCCCTGAGGAGGGAGGCCCAAGACCTGGGTGAGCCTGAGGCCCCTGCAGCCACCTCCCTAGGCAGAACTCAGTGAATGATGGGTCTCTGGAAGCTCCAGGACTTGCTTTGCCCTTTCCTAGGGCGCTGGGAAGGCCGAGGTCCTGAGAGGTAGCAGGGCAGGCAGCCTACTCAGCTCTCCCATTAGTGAGGTCCTACAGAAGCCAGGGAACTGGGAGGGAGGGACGTGTGGGAGCCCTTCTCCCAAGGCACTAGGGGCTCCAGCCTGGCACTTCTGCATCATGTCACCCAGGGACATCTGTGCCCACCATAGGGGTGCCCTGAGCATGCCCATCCCTGTGGGAGGGAAGGAGGCGGTGGGTGCCGTGGAAACTTGGGCTCCTGACAACGTGAGGGCTGCCACAGAAATAACTGCCTCGGTTCCGTGAACCAGAGAGACAAGTCAGAGGAGAAAACAGCTGCGGTGCCCGTGCTAAACTGGACACCTCGCTCACCGCGTCCCAGTCAGAGCCAGGACCCCGGTGCCAGGAAGCCCTGTGGAGGCAGAGCTGCAACTGTCCTCATGAAGGAGCAGCTGGGCTCTCACTCGGTTGTGAGGGGAGAGGGTGCCTGGCATCTCCATCCTGCTCCACAGGGCTTTTCTGTTCCTGTCCCTTAAAGGGGCCTGTCCCCTTCTGAAGGGAGGTCACATGGACACCCCTGTATCTTCTCAACTCTTAGGAGGACACTCCATTCTAAGAGACAGTGGGACGCAGACCCTGGAGACCACAGGAGGGCTGCTATCCCAGCATCCCCCAGGAACAGACCTTTCTGGAAGGGACCATCTAAGGCTGAAGAAGGCACTGAAATGGGGATTTTCTGGGCACCCCATGAAATGGTCTGACCTTTCTGCCCAGTTCACTTGCTGGGGTGGCCCCCTGACTTCCCAGCCTCCTCCCGAACGCTGTCTTGCATGCCTCTCTTTGCCCACCCTGGAAAGAGCAGATATGGCGCTTACTTAGTCATTCTCTCTACAAAGTTGCATAATCTGACTCTAAAAATTGCCAGGCGCACGGCTCTGCTGTCAGGTCTCATTCCCATCAGGTGAAACAGGAAATGACTCGGCTGCGGCGTCCCTGGGTCCCAGGACTGAGGAGGGCCTGGAGTGCCTTGTGCTGTGCACTGCTGGGGGAGGGCCCACTTGTGGCTTGGCCCTCCCTGAGAGCCTGCGTGGCAGGGTGCCTGTGCAAGACCAGGTGAGGGCAGGATGGCTCTGTCCCCACACTTCCCCTCAGCTGCCCCTGCCCAGGGCGCACCCCTGCTCACACAATGACTCACAAACCTGTTGTGCTCTCAGGCTCGTTAGGTAAATGAATACACTTAATTATAGAAATTAGATGAGTCTCCAGCTCTGGCAGCAACGCGGAGCGCAGAGGCTGGGTAGGAGCGGCAGGTGACTCAGAGGCTGGGCTCAGTGTGAGGGAGCCGGAGAGGGAAGAGAAGCTGTTGTGGAAGCAGAGGAAGCAGCGCGGCAAGAGGTGCTGAGGCTCGGGGCGCAGATGGGGTGCTGGGCTCAGCGGCTGGGTGTCACCCCGGAAAGGAGGACATCCCTGTACCCAGAAAGAAAATCCTGGGGCTCAGACTGTAGGGACCCCCACTTGCACCCCAGGCCAGAGCAACCCCAGGCAGCACAGCTCCCCTGAGGAGACAAGCCTCCTAGACACCAGCAGGGCTGCCCCACAGGACAGCCTTATTTTCCTTGCTGGTCTGGGTGTGGGATGGACAGACAGACAGACAGAGACATTCGGTTGCAGGCTGTTTGGTTACTGGTGGAAGGCCACGAGGAATGAAAATGCATTTGCTGTAATTAAGATAGGACCCTAGTGGGGGGGGGCAGGGCCCAGAGACAGGGGTCCTGGGAATGCCGGCACCTCCAGCTCAGGATGGGGGACCCTGAGAGTAATCTCCCGCTGCTCTCAGGCCCCAGACCTGAGCATTTTGGGGAGCTGGGTGGTGCGGAGAGGCTCAGGGGCCTGAATTCGCCTGCATCCCGCCTGGCTCCCTCAGGCTGCAGGAGGAATGGGGGCTGGTGGGCATGAGTGTGCCTGGCCCTGCTTGTGCGTCTCGGGTGCCCAGAGGCAAGAGAGCCGAGGGTGCAGCTATGGGGCTGACTTTCTGGGCGGGGGGCTGGTGAGGGGGAGCAGGAGCTTCCTCGGAGGGTAGGGAGAGCTGTATCGCGATGCCCGTGGAGAGAGCCCCAGGCTGGTTCCAGCCGCTCCAGCTATGTTGTTTAGACTCCGGGACCTTGCACAGCCTTGGTGAAGAAAAGGCACAGGGGTCAGCAGGGCCTGCTCCTCGCCTGAGCAGTTCCATGGCAGCCACGTTCCAGGGAACCCTGTAGGGCAGGTGGCCTGGGCTGGGTAGAGGGGTCTGGCCCACCTGGGAAAGGCTCCCTGGTCTCTGGGTCACCTGGGCTCCTGAGGATGGACTCCAGGGCCCCACACCCAGCTGATCTTTGCATTGTCCCTATTCCCAGGTAAGTTCCCCCAACAAACCCCCGCAGCCTCCTTTCTTGACCCTAAGAAGCCCCAGTTAGCACCTGCCACCTTCTTCCCAGGGAGTTCACTGACACCTAAGCAGCTACAGCCTACAGCCTAACAACGGGGTCTGTGCCAGTGGCTGGAGGAAACCTGGGCCCACTCACTCCTGGTCCTAAATGCAGCCCAAGAGTAGAGAAGTACAGCACAGCCTGGCATGGGGAAAAGTTGCCGAGTGCACACTGGGAGTTTGGCGAGGCTAACTGTCATGCTAGCTTAGCAGGGCCTGTTTCCCGGCAACCCACCTGTTCCCTCTCGAAGGTCACTCTAATTGGCTGAGCTACACGCTTGTTGCCAAGAAGCAGTGTGGAGGCATCTTGAAAATAGAGCAGCCGGGCCCCACAGGCACCCAGAGAGAGATAGTGGTGGGACGCAGGCCCCATGCACACACACGTGCAACCCCTTCCCCAGGTGTCACCTGCTCCCCACACGTCATGGTCCCTCCTCTGATGTGCACCCTCACAGCTTCCTCCACTCCACTACTTCCACTGAACCCCTCATAATGCTGGGCTGAAAGCAGGAGCACTCAAGTCCTCCACGAAGGGTGGGGTCCCCTCCGCCCCACATTCTGAGTCATCCACGTAGCCTGCTCTGGGTCAGAACTAGGACATAGTGGAAGCCACTGCATGTTTGGGCTGGGGGACAGAAGGGGTAGACACTTCCCGAGCCCAAGGATAGGGACATGCAGAGGCCAGGGGTGAACCAGAGGGACACAGGGAAGGGCGCAGCAGTCTGAGCACATCTATCCGCAACACTTTAGCTGGGGTCTCTGGGCCATCTCCTTCCAGTTGCCAGATCATAGCTCCTGCTTCTATTACCAAACAGGAACATGCCCAGCAAAGCTGACACACACCTCCCAGGGCCTGGTTAGGGTCAGGGGGCCCTGGGGATCCCATGGGAACAGTGGAGCTGAGCGGGCCAGGGAAAGGGCCTAGGTAGGTGGCTCTGAAGGCTGCATGGGCTGGGCAGGCCAGAGGACATCCTTGGGGGGACAGAGGCATCCTAGGCTATTCCGGCCATAGCCATGGCCCCTGCCTCGCTCAACCCAGTGTTGGTCTGGGGTTTGGGAACAATGGGAAGTAGCACGGGGTACTGGGCTGAAAGGGGGCTGGTTAAGAAGTGGCCTGAGGACCAAGGCAGAGCTTTGTTTGGGGAGGAGTCAGGATTAATCGTGGAACTAGGCTGCGTATTTAGGGAAGTCAGGCCACAAGACAGGGAAAGAAAGACAAAAAGTGATCAGGAACTGGGCAAAAGGAGCGCCTGGTCTGGAGATCCCTGGTTCCCAGCCATCCTGGATCAGTCCTGCCTCCCTTTCAGGCCAGGACCACCGCCCACTTCTGCCCTGGCCTGCGTAGGCTTGGCCTGCTAACGGGGCTGACAGGAAGCAACCGGCTGCCCGCTTGCCCGCTTGCCCACTCCAAATCCTTCAGAACACACCTCAGAGGGGACCCGCTCTCCCTGCCCACCCCACCCTCTGGTCACCCTCTGGCTCTACTCAAGTCACATCCCAGGGTTTTGCAAAGCTGGGTCAGCCCCTTCTGGGCTCTAGGACCCCCAGCAGGATGGAGGAGGTGGTCCTGTGCCAGGTTCTCTGAAGATCTCATACCAGCACCCCATTTTTACCCTGACTCCTTAATGTTGCTGGCATCTGCTGGGGACACTTACTTGGAGAAACCTCAGTTGTGTTTAAGGGAGGCTGAGGGAAAGGCAGGCAGTGACCCTGGGGAGCCAGGCCTGAAGGTCATAACAGGAACCAGAGGAAGAGGTGACAAAATGGAGGGGAGGGACAGGGACCCTGGTCCTGTGTCCCCTCACCCTCAGAACTTACCTTCCCTGTGGCACCTAGGTGGCAGGGGGCATGGGTGGGTGGGGTCTGTGTACCTTTGGGGGATGCATGCAGGCCTTTCTAGAAAAAATCCAAGGCCTGCGAGATCAGGGTACCCATCCTAAATGTGGGGGCGCATCCAAGGCAGAGGAGGTGGTGGCCATGCCTCAGGGGAGGAGGAGACCTCAAGGTTTGTGGGGGACACTGGGGAAACTCAGCTCCACGTGGGCTCCCCACCTGCCCGGCCTGGGGAGCCATACCTTTCCGGACACTACCATCAGCACAGGCATAGTCCCCAGCGCTGAGCAGGAAGCAGGCAGCTGCCTTCTTGTTTCTGTCTCGGGTGCCTGAGCGTCGCAGGGCCCTGCGCTCCTCAAGGGTCGGGGTGGCGGCCAGGGGCTGGGTCAGGCCAGCTCCCTCCTCCTCGTCTGACAGCACTGCATTGGCATCGCCGTTCTGTTTGGAATCTAAAGGGGTCAGACAAAAAGGAGGCTGCGTGAGGGCGCGCAGGCCTTCCTCATGAGGAGGCCTGGGGTCTCTCAGATCCAAGATCTAGAGAGTCCTCTTCCCAAGGAGGGGGAATGTCGCCTGAGCCAGGGAGGGGGTCTGGTCCTGGGGGCAGGATGCTGGCTTCCCTCTCCCCGCCTTGGCCTGCAGTCTTTCCTGGGAGATGAGGCCACAGATGCCCTAAGCATGGACTCCCCAAGTCTGCTGAAGGCTGCCCTGTGAGATCAGCCTCAGGCAAGGGGCCAACTCTGCTTCTTCCTTGGGTCTAGGCCAGGCTGACACTTGATGAGTCCATTCCCTCAGAGAATGCCTGGCTTATTGGGGTGAGGGGCGGCACTGCTGGGGTTACAGCAGTAGAGTAGCTTCCATGACTGTCTGACCGGACCACCGGAGGGCAGCTATTCACCTTCACCAGGCATCCAAGCTGGAGTCAAGCACCCAAAGTATTCAGAGTCCTCTGCTCCTGGGGCTTCCTGCTGTGGGCGCTTAGTCCCAAGCCCCTGCTCCAGCAGGAAGCACCCCAGCTGAAGCTGGGCCCTTGGAAGTGGAGAAGGGGGTCACTCAGTCTGAAGGCAGTGGCCTCGGCGTTGGCCAGTATGCCCTTACCGTGGTCAAGCAGTGAAGGCTGGCCAAACAGACTAAGGCATGGCTTACAGAGCCATAGGTAAGTGTGCCCTGAGAAGCCAGCCTAGGGACTCACACTTTGATGTTAGGTTTCCCTCTGAGCCCTGAATGGACCATGGGGTACAGGTGAAATTCCCTGGTGTACTGGCTAGGAGATTTACGTTCAGGGATTGGGGAAGCAAGTACCACTTCGGTGGGGCAGGAGGGGAGCCTGATGGGTGCTGTTCTGTCAAGGTCTTTGGCAGACCCAGGCCCCTGAAGGACCCCACGCAATGAGTGGCTCCAGTATGTATGACAGGCACCCACCCACAGGCCAGAGGTGCATGTCTCGTCAGGTACCTCCCATGGAGAACAAGTCCCACTTTGCCCCAGAGCCTAGGCAGGAGCTGCTACCTTAGTGTCCTGGTCTGGCACCCAACAGCACCCCCATACTAGGAATCTTATACTTCCCTCAGGAGCCCATCCCGTACCCAATAGTTAGGTTCATACTCTCCAACCTAAATCCACATTGCCAAGGGTTCATTTCCCGTCTCCTGACTCAGGTGTAGGCAAGCTTTCCTGGGGTGCCCTTTCCCATCCTTAAGAACAAGGTTCAGACCCTCAGGCCCTCCCTTCCAGGACACAGACACAAGTTGCTGCCACCCTTCCCTTTCCCAGCACTGTCTGGGTCACCACCTCTTGGTTCCCTTCCATTCCGTATTAAACCCCGAGCCCAGGGCTCAAACTAGCTGTGCTGAATAGAAGGCAGCCTCCCACTGTTGTTATGTTATCACATTTATTAGGCCAAAAGACAGCAGACTCGGACGTTTGGAAAGAAATGATTCATGAGTTGATGCACCTTGGAAGAACAGCTGCCCTGCTCTCCATCTAATGACAGCACCTGATATTTGTAAAGTGGTTTTAACTTGTCATAGGGCTTTCATATCAAATGTGTTTGGGTCTCATCAAAGTCTGGAGGATAGAATATTAGTATCACTCCAATTTTACAGGTGAGAAATCTATGCCGACAGAGGGTGACAGACTGGCCTTGGGAGACACAGCGGAGTGGCCAAGAAGGGATTAGAAGCCCAGGCTTCTAATTTACAGCCTCATGTACTGCCATTCATAGCCTAAGTTCAGTGAGATACTCAGTCCCAGGCCCTGACGTTCAGGAATCTATCAGAGAATCAAAAGATAGAGAGATTTGGCTTCTATACTTTGTTCTCATAAAGGCCCATGTTACACTTGGGAAGCCCAGGGCAATAAAGCACAATCCCAAATTCCCAACCCCCAGCCTCACCTGCCCGTTTCCTCTCCACCATAGCCTCTTCCTGGGCATGGGGGCTGGTATCACTGTAGGTGCTATCCCGGGGCGATGTCTCCTCGGACTTGCAGTACATGGGCGACTCGAGCTGGGGCGGCCGCGGCACGTGCTTCTTTCGTTTCTTGGGCAGCTTCTGCTTGGCCATCGCCAGGGAGTAGTACATGCCAAAGTTGTTGACAATGACAGGCACCGGCATGGCGATGGTGAGCACGCCGGCCAGCGCACACAGCGCCCCCACCAGCATGCCTGACCACGTCTTGGGATACATGTCCCCGTAGCCCAGCGTCGTCATGGTGACCACGGCCCACCAGAAGCCAATGGGGATGTTCTTGAAGTCGGTGTGGTCATTGCCCCGTGGGTCGGAGGGCCTGGCACCAATGCGCTCAGCGTAGTAGATCATGGTGGCGAAGATAAGCACGCCCAGAGCCAGGAAGATGATGAGCAGCAGGAACTCGTTGGTGCTGGCGCGCAGGGTGTGGCCCAGCACGCGCAGCCCCACGAAGTGGCGCGTGAGCTTGAAGATGCGCAGGATGCGCACAAAGCGGACCACGCGCAGGAAGCCCAGCACGTCACGGGCTGCCTTGGATGACAGGCCACTCAGCCCGACCTCCAGGTAGAAGGGCAGGATGGCCACGAAGTCGATGATGTTGAGCAGGTTCTTGACGAAGTCCAACGTGTCCGGGCAGCACACGATACGCACCAGGAACTCCAGTGTGAACCACAGCACACAGACACCCTCGATGTAGGTCAGGATGGGCTCCGTCTCCACCTCCCGCCGGAAGCGCACGCTGGTGGTGTTCCCTACTCGGTGGATCTCCGTCACGTTCCGATCGATGTTGAAGGCCTCATGGGTCTCCAGACAGAAAGTGGTGATGGACACCAGGATGAAGAAGAGAGAGGCAAAGGCCACCACCTGTGGGTGGGGTGGAGAGTGGGGGCAGCTGTCAGACAGATGGGTGGGCCCGCAGGAACAGGGACCTCTACTTGCAGAGGGTGGGGACATGGGTCACCAGGCAGTCAGTTTAATGGTGACAGGTAAAATTAAAATATACAGTCAGGGGCTGGAATTCCCTCCCCACAGGGTCTTTACCCATCTCCTTAGGTGCTTTAAGGCAGTAGTTTCCAATCTCTTGTCATGGTGCACTTAACAACGGCTGCCCAGCCCTGCTTCCTGTCTAACTCTGCCCATCTCTAACCCAGTAGTGCTTTAAGGCTTCTCAAGCTGTCATGGGTATATAAATCATTGGGGACTCTTGTTAAAATTCCATTGTGATTTAGGAGGTCAATGGCAGGACCTGGGATTCTGCATTTCTAACAAGCTCACAGGTCCGGCTGCTTGTCCACAGGCCAAGCTTGGAGTAGCTACGCTTTAAGGCAGTGTTCCTCAAAGTGAGGTCCTGGACCAGCAGCATAGCATCACCTGGGAACTAGCTAGAAAGGCAGACTCCTGAGCCCCACCTAAACCTACTGAATGAGAAATGCTGGGGGGAGGGCCCAGCCATCCGTTTTAACAAACTTTCCAGGTAGTTCTGATGCGCATTAAATTTTGAGGTCCACTGCATTAGGGGGTATGCCCCAAGGCAGGGAGCTGGAGGGAACGGCCCTGGGCCTCTTTCTGCCAGTTCAGCCTGTTACGCTCCAGCCATGCACCCCCTCCTCAAGCCCCAAGTCCCAGCCCCTCTTTCTGGCCTCTTACCTTAGGATGTCCCAGCCAACCGCCCAGACAGTGAAAAGTGCCTGAAGCAAGACGGCACACCCCACAGCAGGAGACAGGGTGGTCTGCCCAGAACTACCACCCCTCCCCTTCCCAAGAACGGACATTTCCTGGGACACTGAGCTCTCAAGAAAAATAAACTGCACCCATTCGGATCAGAACGTGGCAGCAGCCAGTCCAGACAACTGCTGAAATCTTGGCTAGAATGATGACAGTGGCGCTCAGGAGAGGACCGGCTGGGTTTAAGTGTCCAGTCATTATGAATGGAAATGAAATGCATGTGTAATTACACCAATTATGGATACTTCATCTGTTATTCATGCGATGCCATTCACCACTGTCAAAGTACCCGCTGCGGGGGGTCCACACACCGTGCTGTTGCCTGCCTTGCTTGGTGGGTGGGGTGGGCTTCCTCCCTGAGCAGAGGGCTGAGTCTAAATAGGTGGGTGAGAGAGGACCATGGCCCTACGACCACTTGGCAATCTCCGTGCCTGCCCCCATCCCAATTCCCACCTGGCCATGGCATTGCCCATCTAGTGATGCTTCTCAGAGATGCTTTCCTGCCTGGGAGTCTGCACTGGGAGGGGAGGGGCACACCTTGTTCTTAGTACCACAAAACACCAGTGGAGAATACAGGGGGATCTGGGAAAACGAAGCAAGCAAGCAGCACCTCCAGGGCTTCTAGAGCAGGAGCAAGTCTGGGGAGGGAACTTTGGGAAAGAACATTCTTCAGCTGCCTATTCTGTGCCTGGCACAGTTGGGCACTCTGGATGGGTTATCACCGTCAGTCCTCCCAGTGATCCTAGAAGGTAGGCCTCATCGTCCCATTTTATAAGGGAGGAACTGAGCATTAGAGAGGTTATATACTTGCCTAAGGTCACACAGCCTGGAGGGGGTGGAAACAGACTTGAACTCAGCACTGCTTAACTTCAGAGGCTGTGCCTTCTCTTCACACCAGTTTTCACCACCTCCAGGGCAGGGACAATTCACAGGCCCAGGAAAGCCTTCCCTGAATTGTCAATACTGTTACCAGCCAGCTCCCTGATGACTGCTATTCCACCCTATGGCTTAGGACAGACACCCATCACACACTAAGACTTATCTTATTTACCCTTAAACATGGACAGGTTGATCAGATGGAACACAGAAGGAGAAGAGGGGTAGCAGAGCAGACACACTTCCCCCACTTGACTTCGCCTGGAACTTCTCCTGCCTGCTTCTCCCCATGAAGGTAAATTTCAAGTTCCTTTTCTGGCCTCATTTTTCTTCCCGAGAAATGGGCTGTCATGGCAATACAGGCTGATGTGGGCACGAGGCAAATGGCACCAGCCTATGGTTTCTCCTTGGCCATCCAGAGATGAGCTGGTGAAGGCACCTGTCCAGTGACTGCAGTGATGCTGGGAACCCAGAGTCATGGTGCCTCCCCTGCCCCCAGAAGCAGAGGGGGTTGTGGGTAAGGGGTGGGGACAGCACGTCCCAGCTCTGCCAGGAAGCACGGGAAGTAGGAGCTTGCTCTCTCCAAGGAAAAGTTAGTCAGGCGAGTTGGCCCACCTGGGAACTGAGCATGAAGTTAATTAGTGACTTGGAAAAACAAGTTCAGGAAGAGCCGCCAAGGGGCTGAGCAGAGAGCACAGAGAGGGGGACAGGGAAGGAGGGCCGTATGATCTGGGCTGCTCTCACCCACAGGGCCAAGGAGCCTGCCTTGGTGCCTTCATCACCTGCCACCCCATGGGTCCTTCTGGTCCTTCTGCGGCAGACCCAGTGGGTACAGAGCATCGCTCCTTCATTAGAGAGCAACCCCTTGAATTCCTGCAGTGTTCACTCACTTTTGCTTTTTTTCCTTTTAAACAAACAACTGTCCCAGTCTCAAAAAAGGAGCGGGGGCGGCCAGTTAGCTCAGGTGGTTAGAGTGCAGTGCTCATAACACCAAGGTTGCCAGTTCCAGCCCCACATGGGCCACTGAGTAGCGCCCTCCACAATTAGATTGAAACTACTTGATTTGGAGTTGATGGGTCCTGGAAAAACACACTGTTCCCCAATAAAAAATAAATAAAAAAAACTGTCCTGGTCTCATTATTTACTTCTGCCCCTCACCTCTACCCTCTCAAGAAGATGCGGGCAGGTGCAGGACAGCCACGTGTGTCCATTTCTCAGGGGCACAAAAGAGGGCGAAAGCCTCGCTAAGGATCCAACTGAGGCCAGGTCTCCTGACTCCCAGCTCAGAGCTCTTTTTTCCCACTTGGCCCTCTAACCAAAGGAGTGGGGACGACCTGCTCCTCCTCGATGAAACCTTGGTGGGGCCTTGGTTTTCCCTGCGACCTCTCCCGGGCTGGCAGCAGGTGCCAGGCAAGCCCCAGGCAGCCCTCGTCCCCCGAAGAGACAGGCAGAGCTGAGGCCGAGCTGTGATAGAGGCAGGGACCTGGCCTCTGGCACATGCCCCAGGAGGCTCCCGAGGTTGCAGGTCCCCTGCAGGGCCCCAGTTACTCCTTCTCCTTTACGTTGTTCTCCAAATGGAATTATTTTCTAAGTGGCGGTCCTGCTTGCAATGAAGGCCTTTCACAGGCTTCCCCTCTCACGGCAGGAACACTGCTTTCTTTCTCACACTCTCTTGACTGGGGGGGCTTCCCAGGACAAAAAAAGGGCCCAGGGAGGAGGCAGCAGCTACAGCATCACTACCCTGGTTAGAAGTCAAGGCCTCGCATGCAGGAGCCTCCTGTTCGGCCCCCACCGGTCATCCTGCACAGCTGGCAGTGCACATCACAGCCTCCTTACCGTTGGCCCCCACCGAACAGGACTGTTGGCCTCAGGGGAGCCAAGATGGAGGGCAAAAGACAGCTAAGGAGCCCTAGGGTCAGACGGCCTGGGTTCCCCTACCTGGCCCTGCCACTCAATAGATAAAGGGTGCACTTTGTGTATGTTTCCTCTCTATAAAGTGAGGACAAGTATTAGCGCCCATCTAGTAGTTTTACTGTGGGATTAAATGAGCTTCCACATGGCAAGTGCCTGGCACACAGTAAGTGCTCAATAAATGGTGACAGAGGTGGGGGCAGGGGGGCGGGGGGGAGCCTCCAGGACCCTGCGTGTAGCTTCTGCAGGCAAGTCGGATCTGGTCACAAAATCCTTGCATTTTAGAAGCGAAAGGAACTCAAAAGGTCACACAATTCAATTCACTTTCTGCTGTTTTACAAATGGAGAAACTGAGGCCTGGAGAGAGGTGACTTGCCCTAGTTCCCATAACAGAAGCTGTCAGTTCTTTCCATTGCCTGAACACACAGGGCATGGGTTCTGCTGAAAGACACAACCGCCCATGCAGAAAACTGCTCATGTGAACTGGCTGGGCCGGCAGCAGCCCTTCTCCTGCCAGCTGGGAGGGTGCAGGAGGGCCTCATGACCCTGGACAGGAGGTGCCTTAGCCTCTGTGCAGGAAAGTGCTGCTCCTTCAAGCTTCCTGCTCCCCTTGGGCCTCTCCCGCTGGCTGGCTGTATCCTGTGGGCTGTACCGTCTCCAGAGACCCAGGTGTTTCAGCTAATGGGCCAGCCCTGAGACCCGCCTCCTTCACCAAGCTCATCCTAGGACTATCTTAGTGGAAATGTAAAGTCACACAGTTCTGGGTACAAGTCGGGCTCTGCTACTTACTGCCTGAGAGACCTTGGGCAAGTTTCTTAACCTCTCTGAGCCTTATTAGGATCTCTGTTCATAAAATGGAACGTTGAACACCTACTCTGTGCCAGACACTGTTCTGGCTGCTGGGGAACAACAGGAAACAAAACAAACACCTCTGCCCCTTAGACCTTACATTCTAATGGAGAGCCTACCAACACATAAAAAAGTAAAATATATAGACTGTCAAATGGTTTAAGTGTTAGAGAGAAAAATAAAGAGAAAAGGGGTAAGGCGTGTCAGCATGGGAGAGCTCATTCAAATAGAGTGGTCAGGCGAGGTCTCAATGCCAAGGTGACATCTAAGTAGAGACTGAAAGGGTGAGTTATATGAAGATCCAGGAGAACTCAAAAGGCAGAGGTACCAGCAATGCAAAGGCCCTGAGGCTACAGCTTGAGGTGGTGAAGGGATGAGAGTAGTACTTATCCTATGGGGTTGTTTTGAGGATTAAAAGAAATTATATTTGTAAAACTCAGCCCGGCGCCTCGAGTGTTTCAGGAATCTGGCACAGGCTGGGCTGGGGGGTGGTTGGGAGGTGA